TTCTGGGAAGGGAAATTCTTTGCTTTTTTAAGCACTTTCCAGCCAACTGTGACTGGTGATAGCTTTCAGAAAGGGCAGCACATTTCCCTGCTGCCTCTACAGGCACCAGAAATCCCATCTGGCCTCTACATCTTCTCCTTGCACGTGTGGCACTCACCAAGCGTGCTGTCCTGCACGAAGGGCTTCCTGGCTGCTTTCTCAGCCACTGCATTTGGACTAGTCTGGGAAACCCATCACCTCTGGAGTACTTTGCACTTTCCAAATGAAGTGCTGACCCTGTGGCAACTGTGCTAGGCTCTACCCCTGTGAGATCTCCCACCCCACTGAGCCTGTGTGAGTGGCGTGGAAGGACCAAACTTCAACACTGGCAGCTGGTGGTAAAGAGCTATGATTTTCTTTTATTTTGTCAGTGGTTATCATTAAAAGTAAATGAACACATTGCTATCAGTCAGTAAATTACAATTTCCCAGCTGGGAGATGCAAGTGTAGGCCTGAGGTAAGGCAAGGGGGACTGCATGGATCCCACCAGGGTGCCAGGGGCTGGGTGGCACCTTTGCTTGGAGCAGGCTCACCAAGCTCTATGAGCAGGTTGGCCATGCCCCATGCCAGTGCTAGCATGGGTTGAAACCACAGCTTGGCAACCACACCTTTGCTGCCCATCTTGCTGTGTGCAGGGTGTTGAGCCTCACAGGGACAGAGCCAAGGGTGCAACATCCAGGCTGGTGGCAGCTCTTGCTCTCTTCTGAGTGCCATTGCTCATGTAGGTTTCACCTGGAGTTGCCCCAGCCCTCCCCAAGTGCAACCACTCAGCAAACAGCCCTTCCCTCCCCCAGTCCCTTTGCATGCCGACCTTAACCTGAATACCATAATCCACTTCAGCCATAAGCAATTGCAGAGAGTGGCGGGTCACCCAAGGATATTTTTTTCCAGCTCTGTTGCTGGTCACAGCTCACTGTGGTGGTGTTGCTTGGGAAGGAAGAGCTGCTTGCTATCCTCTTTCCCAACCCTTGGGCTCTTCTGGAGATGCTATGGTGTCTGCATCCAGTGTGTGATGTACATCCCACAGACACCAGTGACAAAAATATACAGGTTGTGTGGGGTAGGGGGGCTCCCTCTTTAATTACATCCAAATAATAACTCTCCTCCAGCCCCCAGGAGGTGCTGGGTGAGCAAACGACCACCCCCACGCTGGGTTGCAGGGAACAGACAATGAACTGTTTGGCAGTTGCAATCAGAAGCTTTTTTTTTTTTTCTTCCCCCTCCTTTTTATATTCCCCAGCACTGGTCAGCAGCTGTGTTGTTTATAAAATGAATGGAGCCCTTAACGAAGCAACAGATAGAAACAGTGAAAGGCTGTGTCTGTCTGTTACAAAGGGCCGAGGGGGAAGGGTTGATCTCTTAAAATACCCTGACATCCTTTCTCTCAGTTATTTAAACATTAGGCAGAGCAGTGATCAGCCATCAACATAAAGCCTATATTTGGCTCAATGGAAACACTAAATCCCCACATCAAAACAGCTGTTTACATATACAGACTCGGAGAGACTTTCAGTTCCAGTGAATGTGAAATAGTGCAAAATAGTATAAAACAGTGCAAAAAAATGCAGATGGTATGTGGGAAGGGGGAGAACCAAGTTACCAGCAGTACTTGCGAGACACTGCTCAATGTGTTGTGGTGGTAGAAACAACAGACCATGTTACAGGCACACTGAGGATTGCAACAAATACTCTGCTCAAGATGCAAAAACAGACAGGAAGAGGATTCCAGCACTGGAGAGAAAAAAATAAGCAGCTTTGCTGTAAACTGTTTTTTCTCTAGCTCAGTCCATCGCTTGCAACACATGACATTAATCATAACCCCCCCCCAAACAAATCTAGGTTAAAGTTTCCAGCTGTTTAGTCTCTAGAGACTTTTAAAGAGGAAAGCAGCATCCTTCATCACAAAAGTCCTACTGTGATGACATGGTATTGGCACATTTTTTCCTACTCCTCCTCTGCAGGGACAGGGTGGGGGAAAGCCACCTTGAAGTTTAGCCAGATTTTTGTACAGTAGATGTCGAGGCCCAGGCAGAGGTGGAAAGAACTCAGATTTCAGCAGTGACATCCTTTCTACTAATGGTTTTAAGGAGCACCGCTACAGCAAAGATTTGGTACTGAGATACATTAATGCAATCAGGAAGCCTCTTGGTCCCTGGAAGCCCGTTCTCCTCTTCCACCCTTTATAAGCCCAAAAGCACTGTGAGGGATAAACTGTTTCTTTTCTGGAAACCTCCAATTATCCAATCTGAATTTCATCTGTGCCACAGAAGATCCTTACTCTGTGGTGGCCATTCACCCTTTTGAGAAAAATGTAAAATCTTTTCTGGTTTAATAACACTACAGTACCCAGCCTAACTCTGTCTCCAAAAGTAAGGCAGAACTCAGAATTTTCAAACTTTAGGAAGGGGTTTAAAAAAATTTCTAATAAATCTGTAAGCCACTTAAAACTCTTCAGTCACAGCACAAGTGAAGGATGTCAGGA